GAAAACACATTCTTAATATCTCTCTTGCCCTATGTCCACAATCACACCCTACAGAAAATCTGGAAGGAGACAAATAACAGCATAAATCTGACAAGTAAAGACAGCCCCTACGTTAAAAGAGGAGTTTCAAACTTAGTCTCTTCAGAAGCTAGTGCTGGCCTGGGGTAAGAAAGAAGCTGGCAAGAAAGAAACTGGAGGGTGCACACCCTAGTAACGAACGAGTGATCCGAGGCTTCTGATTTCTCAAGACAAAATGCAAATCTGTGCTTTTATTTGAAACCTTCAAATATTTAAATTTTGGCAACATATCCACTTTGTGAGCACACACACACAAATGTGACCTCTGATTTAAAGGCCACCCACCGTGGATTTGACAAACTAGAGTTGCAGCTTCATATAAAGATGACAGAAAGGCAGGCGTCCACACCTAAAGAAGCCAGTGCAACTCAGCTCAGGAGAGTCAAAACCATGGTGGGAACCTTCTCTGGAATGATAGCTAGACAAGGGAGCTTGTCTAAACACAGCTTGGGAATAAAACACTAGGGGAAAAGAAAGGGGATTAAGAATCTCTGTACCCTGAGTTTCGGAAGGAGGAATGTAGAAGTCTTTGCCTCAGTAACGAGGGGGCTCTTCAGTCAGGAAATGTCAGGGTAGGAAGAATGCTTTTGGTCTAACTCGAGTAAGAGCACTTTGTGAGAGAGGCCCCTCAATGACACCTCAGGGGTGAAAAGGAGGCTTGGAAGGAAAAATGCACCCAGAAAAACCAAATACACTGCTTAAAGACAGCATAGCCAACTAGTGGCAGGGCCGGCATTACAAGTTTTCTGTTTCTAGAATTATTTCTTTTAGGTCCCTCCCTCTCTCCCTTCCTTCTGCATTTGTTACTGAAATATTATAAAGATAAAAGTGATCGAAGATTTGCCCACAAGCATTCGGTGTTCCTTCACCAAAGCCCTAGTGTTCTAGCAGTACTGGCAAGAGAAAGAGTGGAGGCACAGAATCTTTCCATAGTCATCTCTCCATGTCATAGCTCTGCATTACTCAACCAAAGATTTGAGATTCTCATAAGTTATACAACCTTTGTTGTTATACAGCTGTTACTTTAGTTAACTTCAAAGATTAGTTTATGTAGGATGAGGCCAAAGCACACACACACTAAATCATCTTTTAAAAAATTTCCTCTCAAATTATCAATTCTTCACTTTAATGTACTTTTTAACTTCAGGGTATCCATTTGGTTCCTTTACACGAATTTCATTACTTTTTGAAATCAACCATCTTGTCATCTATTTTATTAACTATATTAATAACAGTTCTTTTAAATTTTGTGGCTGATAACTCTAATACCTAGATTTCTTATGGGTCTGTTTCTATCATTTGTTTTTTTTTCCTGTAGGTTTTCATTTATGGCTCATGTCTCCCTGCTTGCTAGGTAAATTTTGATCAAACGCGGGGCATTGTTTACAAAATACTAAAGAGATACTGTGAGGTTGTAGATGATATTTCCTTCCTCCAGAGAGGGTTAACTACTTTTTGTTTGGTGGTTTGGATAGAGCAGATTAATACTATGCTCATTCTAAGGTGAGCACTGGTGATTATAAAGGCCGGCATGTTTCTGATTAGCCCTTACTCCTACAGTCCAGTCCTTCAGGAATCTCCACTTAATGCCCAGGCACTTACTATGGACCTCTGGTCTTAGTGGCCCTGAATTCTTGTATTTTCCTCAACTCCATGAGACTGAGTGAAGTTCTGCTCAGCATCTGCTCAGCCTGGTTTGTGAAGTATCAAATGTCTTGTTGGGGTCACTTCGTGATTTCCTTTCTCTGGAATTGTGGCTTTTCAAGTCCTTATTCTTTGATAGCTACCTGATGCCTTCGACATATGCTTTCCACATGCTATTCACCTTTCCTGCTTAATCTCAATAGTAGAAATAGTATTATACAAGTTCTGCCTTAACCAGATGTCCTATTCGCTTTTAATAAGAACTTTCAAATTTGCTAAATCTAGCATTTATTGAGCTCTTCCTGTATACCAGGCAGTTATTAAGTGCTCAAAATTTATCTCATAATTCTCACAAAAACCAAGGGGTAGTTGCATTTATATTTACAGAGCAGGAACCTGAAATACTCAGAGAGGTTAAGTAACTTTCCCAAAATTATGAAACAAAGGCTCATCTGAGGCAGTCTGACCACAGAGCCTGTAGGCCTATCCAGTGTAGCACGATGCCTCCCTGTAAGCTTCCTTTTGAAGAAATGACTGAACTACTTCAATCATTTTGATATAAGTGACAGTGTACCTGGTTAGTTATTGATATATTGTAACTCAGCCACTTGACAGAACAGGGTGAGAAGGGTTTGCCTTCCACAGCATTTATCTTATTGTATTACATTTTACTCTACAATATAACCAAGTTCTTTACTGGTAATTTCTGCAAAAATCAAATTTTTGTCTTCTTACATAAAATACAATAAAATAAAACAAAGCAGGCATTACCAGCTAGAAGCAACATATTACAGAAAGAATTGCACTTACTCCTTATCTATAATTTTGTTTCTGTAAGTTTAACTTGTACAGGAACACAAAATTATAGACTTTATATTCTTATTTTCTCATGATTTTGTAAGCTATGCAACTTAAATAGGAACACTTTTTCTGATTTTGTGGGATGAAAATTGTGTAATATATTGGACTCAGATAAAAAATGTTATTAAGCACCAAACATTAACAAATATTTATTGAGAAAGCAAATGAGAAATACATGTGAATAGTTACATACAATATCCTTGGGGAAAAAATGCTGAGGTCTCTTGGAGTCACCAAATTATGGTTTTTAGGCCAGGATTTGCCCTCAACTCACTCTGCAACCTCAAGCATGTCATTTAACCTCTCTGACTCGGTCTGCTTAGCTATCAAATAAAGCTAATTGTGCATGATCTAATTCCATAATTAAGTTAGGCATATTTATTAAACTCCTTCTATGTGCCAGCGCCTTTGTGAAGGCCAAGAATTGTTGGAGAATAGAAAACGAGTATAATGTATGTGAAAACATTTTGTCAAGGATAGTACATTATGTAAACAACTATTTTATGTTTTTACAATTAAGTATTTTTTCTAGGAGTGTCAGAAGCATCTAGCTCTCATTCAAGTACATGGGTACTTTCACTGTGGCAAATTTTACAAATACAAATTAGCCTTTGCAAAATAAAATGCATGACAATTATCAGAAATAAAAGGTAGAATAGAAAATAATAAGTTTTGTAAACAGGACAGAGAAAGGACAATAAGGCAAAATAATATAATAATCACTTATCTAGAACTCTGAATTCAGAAGGACCACTGTTCAACAGGAAAATAGACTAAGATATCAAGAAGGTGTTAAAACTGCCTATCAGCTTAATATTCCCATGACTAAACAAAAAAACCATCGTGGAAAATTTTTCTTTGATTAAAATAAAGAAAAGGAAAAATATTTAAAAATACTAAATGCACTATAAAGAGAGAATAGGAAAAATAAACTTACTCTTCAATGCGAGACTCCCACTGACAACAGTATAAATGGAGGTGATAATTTTGATAATAAAGACTACAGAGAGAGACCACAATAAGAACACAACCTTTATTTTGACAAAGGCTTTATTTTGACTAAGTTAGTGAGGTTTAAGACCCTGGACTTACTGACCCTGTGTTTTTCCAGAAACTTTACCACTGTTGGTTAAACTGTTGAAAACTAGCATTCCAGAACATTGCTCTGCAGTCCCAGCAGCACACTACATTATAGAAAAAACTCGAGTATGTCTCTTTGAGTGATATTATCACAGCTTCCAGGGAGTAAGGTAAGAATATGTTGGCCTATAATATCAAAACATAGCTCTAGATAAAGAAGCGCAAAGCAGAACAGATCCTATACTACAATCTATATTATTGCTCCAGCATATGATTAATTCCACATGCAAGAATTCTACCAAGAAGTAGAAACATCTAGCCTAATCATAAAATTTCCTGAAGTTGGCTTATTTAACTGAAATACAACTCTCCTTCACTTTATAGAAAGGATAAATTTAAGAAGACTTGACCAAAGTGAACCATTTTTAAATTATCAACATCCTCTTCATAGCCAGGGATTCCTGTCTGAAGAGAAAATAACCCTTCAATTGAAAAGAAGATATTAAGACTGTATTATCAAAAATACCCACCAGTCCATGTGTCGATAATGTCATTATCAATCCACATGGCCGGAAATTCTCTCCTGCCTAATGACTACCTAAAACATCACATCTGCTGCTTCTGGAACTTTACTCTTATAGTGTTTGTTTCTTCCCCAAACGTTTAGATTGTCTAATAGATCTCAATTATATTGCCAACAGAGTTTTAAACCAAAGATGTTATTATTCTAATTTAGACATTCCTTACATTTAAGGCTACAATTTTGTAAGTTTTCATTCTTTGTCAATTTGGTAAAATGAAACAAATCTTAAGTTTAAATTCCCTTGTTCTTTCTGTCACTTAGATCTCTAATTAATCTTTTCTATTGGCTTGCAATATTCACTGGTGAAAGGCTGCCCTGGAACACTTGCAGTTCTGGGTCACTGAGCCAGGCAAATTTTCATGTCTACTAATATTCTTGGAGACGGAACCAAAAAATGCCTCAGAAGTTGACAAGGCAAGAAACAAACAAACACATACGTATAGACAATTGCATTCCAAATTGAACATATTTTCTTTTAGAGTTATTTTGCTATAATATAATTATTCAATGATTTTATAAAATTCACAGATCATAATGCCAATGACATAAGAATACAAAACAAAACCCAAAGAATTAACAATCAGTGATATCCTGTAGATTAAAAACATATACTTTTTATCAAGGAAAAAAAAACAAGAGGTGAGAAAATGATTTAAGGTTCATGACTATAAAGTGTCTCTTTCTTGACATTTGAAGGAAAGAACAGATAGAGGTCAAGGTCAAGGGGGAAGACAATCTTCAATGTGTTACTTACTTCTTTGTATCCAAAGATGATGCGTCCATCTATGAGGAGGGTCGCCTGGAATGTGAAGCTTCCCAGGTTGTAATTATCCTGCAGATGTACGTGGTCCCACTGGACAACAAGTGCTGTACCTATAAACCCCATCAGAATATAAGAAATACAATGAGAAAAACATTGCCAGTCAATTCTGGTGGGAGCCTTCACAAAACCATGGATCTAGCCTTCAAATCTAGTATTTGGGCTACTTAAATTTTACAAGGTTAAGTGGAATTCTGTTCCTGAAATAACATTTGGCATATAGCGAGCTTTCAGAACATGCTGAAATCAATGAAACAAATACATTTTGTCCTGGAGATGATGATGAAATGCAGTTTAATGACATTGAAGATGATGGTGAAGGTTGATGATATCAAAATTGAATTCACAGTTTCAGAGTATTATTCTATAGTTTGGATTTTGGCCATCACCTGTTAAGAATACTAAAACTTTAGGATAAATGCAGTTTGCTAAGGCAGGCTGATTTGATTGTTTTAAAGTATTATATATCTTCAAGTGAAATATTAACACTATTCTTTTGATGCAATGGAATTTAAGGGTAAAAGACCACAATATCTGCTGTTAAACAAGAGAGAACAAGAAAGAATGAATAAAACAAGTGTTTTCTAGTTTAAAAAAAAGTATTTGGAATATTGTCAAAGAACTGAGTATTCTCTAAATATTTGGTAAAAACCTAACCTCATACTGAGGTTAATATTGAGCCCAGTATGGGGGAATTTTGCCTTAGGAAGTCCATTAATGTTAATGGGTACCGGCTGCTTAAATTTCCATGAGCCACTTTCAAAATGCAGCCCAAGTGAACTGCATGAATTTCAAATACATTTACAAATGCTGAGAGAGAAAGGAACACATTCAGAAAAGCTAGAACCACTTATAAAAGACCTAAAAACGTCTCTTCCATTCTTAGAATTATACTTTTCCAGGCTGAAGAAATTCTTTTAACACTAATGGAAATATTTTTCTTTGATTTCACAATGCCTGCATTTCTGTCTTTGTTGTATTGCTTCCAGCAGGCTGCAAGGTAGCTTAAAGGGCCCCAGGCTAAGATTTCTGAAGCCTCCTTGAAGTATACTGGGGAAATCTTTAGTGTTATATATCATGTTCTAATGAGTCAATCTACCAGGGTTTACTATGAAACTATTAACATGAAATATAAATTACAACACAGTTTAATAGCTACCAATGAGAATTCATATACTTGTTTTAACTGCCATTGCTTTTTCTCTATTTTTTAAAGAAAAAAAATAAGTGGCTAACACTTTTGCTTAGCTCTAAGTATTGGATTTTCTGTTTAATTAAAAAAACATGTTGCTGAAAAATGTTCTACAGAAAATGAAACAAGCAGAACTAAAAGATCACAACCTGTCTTCTAGGTCATTAAATATCTGATTAAAAAAGAAAAAAAAAATCAAGATTGTATGACAGAGAGTTTCTGGGTCACTGACGAGGTGGAGGTGCTGAGACAGGAGAGCCCAGAGAGGGCAGGAAAGCTCCACACCCCTCACCACTAACCTACTCTCTGCTTTTCTCCCCTTGGACTGTTTTCCAGTTAATCCCTGTACCAGATGACCCATGCAGAATGAATACGGTCTTTAATGTGCTTTTTGAGTATAACGTTGAGAGCTTTTGACCAGGATGGCAACATAGGAGGCTCCAGAATTCCCCTCCTCCCATGGACACACTAAATGTACAGCCATACAGGAAGCAACTTCTTTGGAGAGAGATCCAGGGAGTAGCCAAGTGATTGCTGTGCATCAGGTGACTGAGAAAACACCTTACACTGAAACTGCACATAACGAGGTGCTGACTGGGATCCTCTCTGGAGCCCGAAGGAGCCAGTGGCTCCTGTGTCCTCCCTTCGGCTTACTCCAACAATAAAACAAGGTCACTAGCCTCTCTCTGGAAGGAGCTTATGTATGAGTCTAGCACCCAGTTTTTGTGGTACCACCTGAGGGACAGGGCCCCAGATCGCCTATTTGTGATGTGGAATGCGATTTTCATTCCTGAGTTCCAACAGGCCTGTAGAAGACAAAGAAGTACCTGTCAACAGACTTGCTCTTGAGCACTTGCCATGGCTATTCCCACAGGAGTCAGCAGAGAGAGGGCATGCAAAAATGCCCATCTCCCAGTCTTTTCCTTTAGGGCCGTATTTACATATTTTACAAGCTGCTGCATGAGGGTCCACCATCTAATTAGCATTCATCTAGGTGCTAAATGTTATTCTGCCCAGAACCCAAAGGAGCAGGTGGGCACTTCCTCCACCTGTACCCTCCAGCTCACTCCAACAACAAAACCAATTTGCCAAAATTTATCTGAAAGCTGTAGACACACGTAGCGCCCCATCTTTTATGGCTGCCACTGAGGTTTAGGCACCTAGACCCAACAGGGCTTGCAGTTATAAGTCGGAGATTATAGCAAATGAAGAAGTTTCGAAATGGGTGCAGGACCACTTGCACGATCAAACTCACAGACCCAGTGAAGAGAGAGCAGGTAAAAATGCCTACCTCCCAGGTTCTGCCCAGAAGGGGTTTGACTGCATACTTTCCTAGCTGCTCCCTGAGGGTCCAGCAACAAACCCCCTGCATCAAGGTGCTGGCTAGGATCTTCCTCTTTAGGACATCAATGGGACTTGGAACACACTCAACTACTGAGAACAACAATGATGTCTTAGAGGGGGTGTCCAACCTTGTGGTGTCTCTGGGCCACACTGGAAGAAGAGTTGCCTTGGGCCACACATTAAATGCATTGCGACACGTAATCACAAAAACACCTCATAATATTTGAAGCAAATTTATGATTTTGTGTTGGGCCCCATTCATAGCCATCCTGAGCCGCATGTGGCCTGCAGGTTGCACATCCCTGAATCACAAGGGTTTCTGAGACAACCAGGAGCTTCAGCCCAGCTGATGGATGAGGTTCATGCCCTATACAAGACCACTCTGATGAGACAAGTTGGCTATTTTATCTAATGTGCAGAAACAAACACAGAGTCAAGAAAATGAAGAAATGGAATGTGTTTCAAATAAAAATACTAGATAAATCTCCAAGAGACAGATCTTAATGAAAGAGGTAGATGATTTAACCAGATGAGTTAAAAAATAACAGTCATAAAGAGGCTCACTGAGGTCAGAAGAGCAATGCATGAGCAAAGTGAGGATTTCAACAAAGAGGGAGAACGTTAAAAGCTACTAAATAGAAATCATAGAACTGAAGTATACAATAACTGACATGACAATTTTAACAGAGGGGTTCAGCAGCAGGCTAGATTAAGTTGAAGACAAGGCCGTGGTATTCGTTCAATCAGAGGTGCAAAAAGAAAAAGAATGAAAAGAGTGAAGATAGGTTAAGGGACATAGAGGACACCATTGCTTGGACCAATATTCACATTATAGGGATCCCAGAAGGATAAAGGACAGACAAAGGGGCAGACAGCTTATTGAAAGAAATAGTGGCTAAAAATTTCCAGGAACAAAAACAGGCATCTGGATCCAGGAATCCCCCAAATACCAAGCAAGATAAATCAAGAGACTCACCTGGAGACATGTTATAATGAAAAATTACAAGAATATAAAGCTAAAGAAAGAATCTTAAAAGCAGGAAGGGAAAGCAATCTTACTCACAAAAGAATCTACATAAGACTGCTAATGGACTTTTCAGCAGAAACCTTGCAGGCTAGAAGGAGGGGGTGAGATATTCAGAGGGCCAACCAAGAGGCCTCTATCAGGCAAAGCTGTCCTGTAGACGTGAAGGAGAGACAGTGTTCCAGACAAGCAAAAGCTGAAGGAGTTCATCACTGCTAGACCAGCCTCACAGGAAATGTTAAAGTGTTCTTCAAGCTGAAATAAAACCACGCTAATTATAAAAGGAATTACATGAAACCGTAAAACTCAATGGTAAAGGTAAATATATAGTTAAATTCAGAATGCTTCAATACTGTGATTGATGGTCAGTAAATCACAAATAAATCTAGTGTAAAGGCTAAAAGACAACAATATTAAAATAACTATAACTAAAATAATTTAATGGGTATACAATATAAAAATGTATAAATTATTATACCAAAAACATAAAATATAATGCAGGGTATAAAAATGTAGAACTTTTATATGTATCAAACCTCTGATCATTAGTAAGAATTATACTTTATAAATTGCTATTCAAGTTATTTTTCTAGTAAAGGGATTTTAATTACTTTTCTAGTTTTTCTGCATTAATATTCTGTGACTCAGATTTCTGTAGTCATCTAGGTTGCCTATAACATTTGGAAGCATTGTCTTATTTTCAAAATCCAGTGATTTTTAAACTTACAGAAATACTATCTGAGAAATTTTCTAAACTGCTGGCGCCTCCTCTAGAAAAGTCTTGCTTTCCTAAAATGTTGAGTTTTCCATCCTTTAGCATTCTTTCAATGATCCTAACTAATAAATGTTGGAGATATTTCAGTAAGTTGCTTTTGTATAAAAGGACTTAGTGAAGAGCCTGGAATATTCAAAAGTGGTTCATTCATTTCCTGAAACACAAGCAAGTACTCATCTTTCATTGCCATATCGTAGGAAATCAATATTTCCATTGGGTATTACCCAGCAGATATTTCAATAAAGTAGAATATATTAACTCTTGAGTATTACTACTTTTACAGATCTCAGAATTAAAAACTCATCTTACATATTTATTATTTTTAATTTACTCATTCATAGAATAATTATGGAAGACTTACTGTGTATAAGTTCCTATGCCAGGTACTTAAGAGAAAATGATTTCTTATAGTCACAGCCCTTATTTCAAGGAATTTAGCATTCAGCTGGAGTAGCATTCATTAATTTTTAAAAAACTATTCAAATAAAAGTAAAATTCAAGTATCAAGTGCTGTCTAGGTACATGGAATATGAGAGAGTATGTGGATGGAAAGACATACTCTATATGTTTTATGACTTTGATGCTCATGATATAAAAACTTGGTCATCAGAATCCTGTGCCCATGAGTGAATGTCCTCAATTGCACCTAGTAAGTGACAGAGCTTGGAAAATAATCAACTTTCATCAATCATTTCCTGTTCATCAGACAGGTGATTCTGTTTCATATGTCATGCAATAAGCTTCAGGTAAGTTTCTGGTTATAGTTCTGCCTCAAGTATACTTAGAATTTATCTGTGCTTTATTGAGCTTTAGTACCTCATTAAATTTGTTAGACAGAGAAGGTAAACTAGATGACAATTCTTAAAATAATAGGGGGAAGCTATTATTACAGGTAACATTCAGAGGTACTTAATACTGGAACACACTTTGTTGTTATTCAAATTGCTTGAACTTTATTTCTCAGAGTATATTTCTAACTATGTTTAGTTTCCTTCTTCCTTTGCAAATTTGACCTATAAAAAGTTTCATCATACTGGTCAGAAGATGGCTTTTAGTAAAATGATCACATTCCCCAAAATAGCTGCATCATTGAGTCTATACCATCCACTAGTGAATTTCTCCCTGATCATTAAAACAAGAGTAGAAATAGCTATGTTCATGCCAAATGCTTCTGTTCTTTTAAAAGGTAAAAATCCTATTTGGACAATTAAATATTATTCCTATATTATAGAGTACAGAAATGTCTATCTTTTCAAAAGTTAATTAAATCATTAAGTAATTTGAATTCACTTTTAATTATACTTGACATGCTGAATTACATTAGTTTCAGGTAAAGGACAAAGTGTTTCAACATTTATATGCCTTACAAAGTGATCACCACAGTAAGTCTAGTAACCATCCTTATCGTAGGTAAGTATTACAATATGACTGACTCTGTTCTCTGCTGTGATTTCCATGTCCATACTTATATGTAACTGGGACTTTGTACTTCTATCTTTTATTAAGTTTCCCAACAAACTCTTCTTTTGCTACAATATTTTCTCTACTAAAGTTAGAGCCTTCAATTAGATGTAGGTGTGAAAACTCATTTATGTCCTTAGGACCTTAAATTTTTACTTAGGTTTAAGTAGCATTTAGTAGACAGTCTAGGTTTTCTTTGACTATTTTATATGTCCCCCAAAGAAACAGTAGGGATAAATTGTTGTCAGTATATGTTATAAACCTTAATAGGCTCTATTTCATATTTTAAAGTCAGGAAAACTAGATTTTTAAAAATGTATTCTAACTATTCACTACCCTATATTTTTAAAAGATATGTTCATTTTATGATATATAGTTCATAACTTTTAAAAGTTTAATATCAACATACTATGCCACTTGCCTCTACTTGAAGATCAGAAGAAATTATCCTTATTTAGCTTTTCAAATATAACAGCAAGGGTTTACTGAAAATAGCATCAAATGTATTTGCTTGGTATGAGGTGTTGCTTAGTATAACTCTTTTATTATAATGCCTAATAGATGTTGATATACATTTTTTTAACAAACAAATGAATAAATGAGTGACATTTGACTATATACTTTACTTCGCATATTAACCGTTTAACATTTGTCATCTTAGGGGTTTGCACCAAGTAGTTTACAAATCCAGTCTACCAAGAACAAAATAAAACAAAGTACCCCAAGTTACCAAAACATTAAAATGAATCTGATGATCACTGTTTAAAAGTATACATTCAGTAAAAAAAAGACTGACCAATACATACCATTATCAAAATATCGGACTGTTGAATTTCTGGAGACACTAGGGTCGAAATTTGCCATCAGAGGCGCTATGTACTGCGTGGCTGTCAGCATCCGATGCACCACTTCTCCAGTGTATATGAAACCTGTAATTGGAAAAGTAGGAAATAGGTTTAAAAAAGAGCCCAGATAAAATTTTAATTAAAATACATCCAACTTGGTTGCAGTCCTATTTTGAAAATAAAATATCATAGAAGCTAGGAAAAAAAGGAGCAAAATTAATGTTTGATTGGCTGCTCGAAGGTAGTTGGGTCTGGATTAAGTAACAAATTTGCATAGGACTCTGTAGCACCCGATAGACTGTCCAATCAGAAATTGATGCTATGAACAACTGTAATTGTGGGAAAAGTGACTATTATCTGAAAGAGATTATTAGGCTGAAAAGACTAATACAGTACCATCAGTATTCTAACATATAATGTCCTATTATTAATCCCTTGTTATTTTAACACTACCCAATCATGCAAACAAATCTTTACAAATGAATGTATTTTCATGGTGTTTAATTGCAATTTCTTAAACTGTAATCTCAATTTAGGACATTTTAAAAACTACATATGCATGTTTTTATATTTATTTTTATATCTTTCTCCATTACTAAAATGGAGAAAATGTTTCAGACCTTTTTTTAAGTTGAAGGGAGGCTAAGCACCCATGGAAAACTTGCACATTTCTCAGATTAGCCAAATGTTTATAATGCTAGCACCTCATCAGAAAGATAAAGATTAAATGTCTGCAGATAAGATGGCAAAACACTGATAATGCACAAATGCCTCTGTGCTTATCAGTACCAGCCTATCTTAAGCAGGGGATAATGAGAGGGAATTACTATAGAGAACTTCCTCTTGAATTAACTTTCAATAGCTTCTATGTTACCACACTACCCACTTTGAATTATTCACACTGGGTTTATTTACTTTGTGGATTATCCATGACAAATTGTTAATCCTGTACTGGTTTCTTGCCTGTAAATCTTTAGGTTGCAAAGGAAAGGAGAGTTAGCTCAAGGAATGTTAACTCATTTTAATATTAATCTAAGAAATGCACAAATAAGAACATATATGCAAATAGATACACCACAGTATTACAAAAAAACCCCCAAAGCAAATTATTTGTGAAAATGCAGTTGTAATGTTTGGGTAACTGTAAGTTAACTAGATATCTGGGGCCACTATAGATCATTTTTCTATTTTCCCAGTAATTGATAAAACAAGCAAGATTTAAAAAATACAAAATTGGTAAGACTGAAACTTCTAGAAGTGTTAAAACCTCTGTTATCTTACTCTGTGATCTGAAGAAAGACTTAATTAGAATATTGTGGTCTTTATTTTTCAAATTCTCAACTGGAATTTCTAGGTGAGTTACTGGAAAATTAAATCTATAGTTATTTACTTTGAAATTAATTTGTTTTTGCACCAATGTCTTCTTTCCTTGACTTTTCATTTTTTCCAAAGGTATACTTAGATTCTAGCTATTAACCTTACAGTGTATTTTAACTAGTACTGTCTTTAGCATGTGTTTTAATCACTGATCACATCTTGTTTCTCATTTGATGAACAATAGCTTTCAAAATAAATTTCCTATGTCTGGAGAAGAATTTTGTACATTTGCAATTTCACATAGCTCAAATGTGCTAAAAGATAGTTTATAAAGTGATGCAGTCATTGCTTGTATTTTTCTGTAGATTTTCAGAGACACTCTTGAAGTTCAAAGCCCCACATCACATCCTCAAAATTATGAAGATGATAAGTAATTATTTTTTTCAGGGAGTATGATTTATTTTTTCTCTGCTCCTCACCAATATGCCTTTATAATTTCCCCATTAAAATGGTAAGAAATTTTCTATAAGTCTGAGAATTTAAGAGAAAAATTAAATTATACTCTGCCAATGTTCTTTCAGGGGCAGTAGCTCTGCATAATTATTTCTCTATGTTCTTTGAGTACTAATAGAAGAAACTTTACTTGATTTAAAAATAAAGGCAATAATTCAAGCCAGTAAGATAACTTTAAATTGATACAGAATTCATTTTCTGAAACAACTCTATGAAAAGCAGCAGTGATTCCTAAAAAAAGGGTTGCAAAATGCACAAACATGGGTGATTTCAAATACTTAATTCTTACTGTTGGTATTTAAAATCACATACCCGTATGAAGTCTCGAATTGTTCCCAAAGAAAAAAGTATAACTACAAAAGAATTTGTTACTATGTAAAAGCTATAATTACAAGCCTTGATTCTTCTATTATTGTAAAATTAAAATAAATTACAATCACTCTTGCTGTGACTCCTACAGGTGGAGCAACCGTTAAGAGAAAGGAACGACTGCTATCCTTACTAGCCCTTCCGACTGCGCTAATAATCTACTGCCACCGTCACTACTGCCACCACCAGGAATAATGTGAAAGCAATCCAAGGAGGCAAATGCCCAATTACTCCTCAAAATGAGTTTAATTTGGCGAATTCAGAGACTACTTCCTTGTGTTCCTCAGCCAGGTCGAACTCTAACTCCTTCAGTATGTTAGGTTAGTTCTGAGTGACCAAGAAGTAAAACGCTTGACTGAGCTGCTGGGCTCTACTTAGTTCTCCGTACGTCCACAGATTTTTCAAATGTCATGTCAGCAGTGGTTAATGACGAAGTGGAGGAGCACCCTACAGGCGCTGAAAGCAGGGAGGTGTACCTAGGTATTGAGTGAGAACCAGTCAGGCAAATTAAGGACAACTTTAATGCGATAAATATTTCCGAAGCTTCAAAGGCACCCAGAGCCACTCATTTAGATGTTTCTTTTCTCTCAAATTTTGTTTTTCAATAACAGTTTACATCCAGCATTATTTTGTATTAGTTTCAAGTGTACAGCACAGTGGTTAGACAATCATCTACTTTAGAAAGTGTTCCCCCGATATTTCAGGTGTCCACCTGTCACTATACATAGTGAAGAGTTTCCTCAAAAAATTAAAAATGGAACTTCCTTATGACCTAGTGAGTCCACTTTTGGGTATCTTAAGAAACCCAAAACACTAATGTGAAAGAGTATATGCACCCCTATGTTCACTGTAGCATTATTTACATTAACCTCTTTTCTTTAGCTGTCTTGGGCATGTCCAGTTGTATAGAAAAAAATATATCATTCTTCTTGCTTTTTCACAGTTTGAAGTAATTTAGGCCATATATATATATAATACTATATATAAATATATATATAGTATTAATATGATTATTGAGTCTTTTAAATGGTTGTAGTTATTTGAAGGGCTAATCATAAAATGCCTTCTTTTTTGCTCACTTTATGCTTTTCTTTAAATATCACTTATTTATCTAGCCATTAGATTTGCAGACAAGTTGTTATTATCCAGATAACCTGGTAACCAGAAAGATACCTCCGTTTGAAAGATCCAAATAAGAGAAGCAAATGTGTTTGCTTTTTTGAATTTCAAATGATAGCTAACACACCGAACTTCTCTTTGGCCTTTACTACTAAACCTGGCATCAAGTTTTGAGTTCAGCTCTAATCGACAGCTTTGCTTTTGCATCTTCTTTTTTTTTTTGAATTTTTTTTTTAATATTTTATTTTTTAGAGCGGGAAGGGAGGGAGAGAGAGAGAGAGAGAGAGAGAGAGAGAGAGAGAGAGAGAGAGAGAGAGAGAGAGAGGGAGAGAGACATCAATGTGCGGTTGCTGGGGGTTATGGCTTGCAACCCAGGAATGTACCCTGGCTGGGAATCGAACCTGGGACACTTTGGTTCCCAGCCCGTGCTCAATCCACTGAGCTACGCCAGCCAGGGCTTGCTTTTGCATCTTGAAGGCTCTCTTTGCATTGCTTTCTGCCGGAGGCTTATAGTCACTTAAAAAACTATTTTTTTTTTTTTTTTAGATAGAGAGAGGAAGGGGAAGAGAGAGAGAAAGTCAGAGAGAAAGAGACTCATTTACGCATTAATTAGTTGCTCCTTGTATGTGCCCTGACCACAGATAAATCCGCAATCCTGGCGTGTCAGGACAATGCTCTAACCAACTGAGCTACCCAGCCAGAGCAAACAATCTAGTTTTAAATCTAAACGTTTTCAAGTCATTTGAGGATTCTATCATTGTAAGTCTTGATATGAATAAACCCTCCTCAGTCATTTTATATTTATTAACTATAGTTACATATTTATTATTCACCAATACTACTGTGATATAGTAAAATTAACAAATACCTGTTCACCTTTACCGATTACATTGTTTTCATGTACTCTCTTCAATGTATCCTTATAATAACTTTGAAAAGAATATTATCATTTCCCTTTATTAAATGAGGCATATAATAAAGCTGGGTAAAATTTGCTTAAAGCCACACAGCTAGAATCAGTCTTCTAATTCCAGATATTATGACTTCTTTACAATATATTTCAGAATTCATTAAGTTTTGAGAACCACATCCTCTTCCTCACTGGATTTCATACTTAAACAAGGAGTTTGAGGAAGAAGAGACCTGTTCTCTCTGAAAATTCCAACACCTACACCTTAGAACAAAGTTGTAGTCATTTCAAATCCTACTACTTTTTATTGTAACTTGTATTACTTTAGCCTCTGTTCCTTTAATTGGCAAATTGTATAAGTAGGTTGAAGTTAGATTCCTCTATTGCAATATACCAAGTGACTCTTAAATTGGTAGGTGAGTGACATACAATTAGATAATTTATTTAACAGTACAAGCCAGTCATTTTCTGGCCAGGGCCTTCATGTCTCTGGGCCTCTGTTCTCCTATCTGCTCAGAGGAGGAGTAATGGCATCATTATCACTGAGCTTCTGTGAGGGTTGAGTAAGTTGGTAAATGAATAGCACTTGAAAACAGTGCTTAAAATAAAACTTTGCTGAAAATAACCAATCTATTAAATTCTCTCTAATTTTTACCCCTTGAAGTCTTCTCTGTTTAAGGCATAGTAGTTGATTAGGGTTGCACTAAGATGTTTATATGACTTCAAAATTGAGCTTCAGATCCAAATGGCATGACACTCATTCCTTTGCACTATTCAGTTTGGGGTAAGGCGTACCACTGATCTAACTGCAAGGCAATAGGTAACAAAAAGCCTTAATGTCCAAGTTCTTCATTAG